TTTTTTTTTTGTGAGGGGAAAATCATCAAATGACTTCTCCCGCCCAGGGCCGGGCAGGAGGGAGTGTCAGACTCTTACTGACTAAAAACCCCCCTGTTCCTTCTCCTGCTCTGTGCCGAGGTCGCGGTACCTCATTGCGCTTACCCCGCAACCCCGGCTGAACATCAGCCCTTTAGGGCCCCGTCTGTGGTGGTCTATTGGCTCTTTGAGGCGCGCGCGGAACGCTACGCGCCGTACGCTCGGGCCTGGTTCTGGTCGGGCGGCGAGCTGCCCTTACTCGCCGACCGCAGGCCCGTACTTACGGTGGCCGGAGATCGTCCCTCGATCCCCGACGCCCGTAGTGTCGCCAGTTGCGGCTGCTGGGGCGTGAGGAGGAGGATTGCTCCCTCACGCGGGCCGCCTCTCTCTTTGCGAGCATGACTGCTTCACAAAAGGAGGAGACGGCGTCCCAGTTCCTCTCACTCCGCACCATGGCCTCGACTAAGGCCGGGCGCGAGAGGTCGCCGCCGCCGATCACTTCCCTGAGGATACGGCGGTGCTCAGCCCAGGCAGGGCATACCGCTACCGTATGCTCCACCGTATCCTCTAGGTGGTCCTCACAATGACGACACTCGGGCGTTTCCTCCCGCTGAATCCGAAACAGGAACCTACCGAAGCTGCCGTGCCCGGTAAGCACCTGCGTCAGACGGAAGGTGAGGACGCCGTGGCGTCTCTCAAGCCACTCCTCAAAGAGGGGTCTTACCGCTGCTATGGTAGCGTGCCCGGCCCTCGGTTGCGACAGTCGTTGTCTCCACTCTGCCATGAGATCTCGCCGGAGCTCATTCCGCCACGCACTAATTTGGCGCGGCAGAGGATCTTCGCCCCGGCGACGCGCGTCTGCGCGCAAACTGTAGACGCGCGCGAGCGCCTTCGCTTCTAGATCCCACGGCGGTGATCCGGCAAGGAGGAAGCCGCCAGCTTTGATATCTAAAATACTATTAATAAAAGACGCCTAGATATGGAATGAGTGGTGTAGAAACCCGATTATTAAATCCAATGCGCGTTGCAAAACCAGTTTGGATACATATTTTTTTGAGTTCACGATTTAGTTTAACTTGTTCTAGTTAGTTTTTACCTTGCTTTTTGTTATACTAACTCGTTTTTGAACAGCTAAGAGAACTTTTACTATATTGGCTGTTTGACCGATGTTAAATACATTATAAAATGCGTACCTATGATATTATATCCTATAAAAGTAAACAATACATTTTCAGTGTTTATTTTGTAAAACAACAACGAATATTTAGTAAAGTTTATATCAACAATAATGGCCTTCTTAGAATTGTTTACACGGTTGCCATGGTTACTTAACATGGTAGTTAACTTTGCTTGAACCGCGACATTTTTCTTGCTTTCAGTGCGATCTACAGTTTTAGCGCGAAACCCAATGATTATCGGGGAAAATATTTGATTTTACTAAAATGCATTTTATGAGTAAAACTGGGAGACTGTATTGCTGGATAACAAGACATATCGCATGTTATACAAAATGTTCAACGTACATAAAGTAGACGTTTCGAGACAGGTAAAACGATATTCTAAGCAATGAAGTTTGTAGGCCTATGTATATAATATATGTATATTGCAGGAGATTTAATGACTGAAGACCGTTTGAAAAAATATGAAGCGCTGAAGACCATTATTACTTAGTCTTTTCCACAATCTTACCTATCGTACCTACTTATTATTTTTTGGTTATCAATCTTATGATGCATAAATTGCTTAAATTAATGACACAAAATGCTCTGAACACAGACAGACAGCTTGACTGGCCCCAGACGGATTATATAAGTGTTGCAGACATGTGATCACTTGTTTCCGTATTGGTTTTTTGAGTAAATGCCCCGGCTAGACTTTTGGATCTTGTAATATAATAGCTGGTGCAATTCAAAAATATTTTGGGGTCACATTCATATAAAATATGAATGCATTGAAGAAGGAGAATGGATAGCTTTTGGTTGTTTTTTTCCTTCTCCCGCCCAGGGTCGGGCGGAAGGGAGTGTCAGACTCTTACTGACTGAAGAACCCCCGTTCCTTCTCTAGCTCTGGGGCGAAGCCGCGGTGCCTCATTGCGCTTATCCCGCAACCCCGAGCTTCACGTGTAAACCGGAGTGTTATTTTTCGAGGGTGGAAAATCATCATGTGACTTTTACGGCCCTGGATGGGGCGAGAGGGAGTATCAGACAATTACGGTTTAAAAACCTTACTGTTCTTGTTGGACAAAAACAGTGAAGTTTTTAAGCCTGCAAACCTGGCTAGTAGCCAGGACAAATTGTTAATCACAGTCCCTAGGTACCCATTCAGTTTTTTAGCCAATCAATCTCGAATCAGTAATACATATTTTGATCTTATAACAACAAACACACCACAGCGTTTTGTTTCGCCGTGTGCGTGTAGCCAAGATCATGGTGCGGCTGGGAAGCCATCTCCTCTTTCTGAAGAGGGTGATATCCGTAAGGGTAATCTTCCTCACGCCCCAGCCGCCGCAGTAGGAGACACTCCGGGCGTCGGGGACTGAGCTACTACCGAGTAGGAATCAGCTCCGAGCATATTGCGCGTAGCGTCCCGCGCGCGCTTCAGTAAGCCGTTAGGCCACCACATACAGAACCCAGATGGGCCGATGTTTAGCTGGGATCGTGGGTCAAGCGCAATATAAGGTACCATGGCATCGACCTGGAGCAGGAGAAGGAGAGGAGGGGCTTTTTGTCAGTAAGAGTCTGACAACCCCCCCTATCGCCTCATCCGGGCCATATAAGTCGTTTGTTAATTTTTCCTCCTTCAAGAAAAGATAACCAGGGCTTGATTATAATAAAACCTTGTTTCGTTTACGTTCGTTCCGAAACTTGAAGCAGGCACATACCTACTAGCCAAAATTTAAAAAAATAAAGTAATTTTGAAACGTCCAAATCGAATAATAGTCAGTTAGCCTGTTCTTCAGTGTCAGTTAGGTGCATAACAACCAGCTTGGCTAATTACAAGCCGCGCTATCGCGATTGATTAGTTAACAAAACAAGTTTTAGGTTATTATCGTTACGTAGCAGTATTAGTTACTGTTATACATATGTAGAATAATAACTGTTGTTCTCCAATATATACCCAAGGATATTCGTAAGGTTTTGCTAGTGGTTTTTTTTTGAAGGAAAAAGACATATACGGCCTTATTACAAAACAAGGTTTTACTTTAGTCTAGGACTAAACCATTGAGCCAGTTTTCGTATTTCGAATTGAAAGTAGATGACAATAAGATTCAAAATTCAAAACCCGACTCAATGGTTTAAACCTGGACTAAAGATAAACCTTGTTTTGTAATAAGGGGGAAATTGTCTTCTCCAGCCCTAGGTATGGCGAGAGGAACATTAGACTCTTACTGACTAAACCCCCCCACGTCACTTTTTTGCTCTGGCCCGGCGCCGCGGCATATTATTGCGATTTCAATGCAATGCGTTAACGCGCCAAAGATTTTTTGGTAGTGGTTTTTAAGTGCAATTACCTATCCTATCTTAAAGATTATAATACCCAGTTTTGACCTCGTTATAAGTTAGATGTTTTTTTTTAATGTAGTAGGTCGGCAAACGAGCAGACGGATTACCTGATGGTAAGCAATCAGCGCCGCCCATGGACACCCGCAACGGAGGAGTTACGAGTGCGTTGCCGACCTTTTAGGGATTAGGGATTTGGAGATTTAGGGATTGGGTCTCCGGTAACCTCACTCACACGGCGAAACACAACGCTGTGGTTGTTTCACGCCGGTTTTCTGTGAGGCCGTGGTATCACTCCGGTCGAGCCGACACATTCGTGCCGAAGCATGGCTCTCACACACTTGTAAAACATAGCAACCATTTGTTATAAGGGAGTGAACCTTTTGTTATACAAGGCGGCACGATCACCGATACACATTTTGGCTGTTTAAGAAATATTAGGTACCTCCGACGAGCTTTTGATCAATGAGACAGGTAGTTATTTAGCAAACAGTGATTTATGTGATTACCTACCAAAAAGTATCTAATGTCTGTCTTGCATAGCGTATTAGCTTTAGGAAAGGATTACAATTAATAAATAAAGAATATCGCACAATTTTACTACTAAATTATTTAAATGTACATAGGTGCATTAAAATGATATATAACAAATAAATAAATATAATCTAATAGGTTAAAATCTATAACTTATTATTATTAATACATTGATACCTACCATATTTTAATCTCGTTACTTACTAACCTATGTATGTACATACATCTCTTGGTATACGCAAACAGTATATATAATTCATGAACAATTTTTTAAGTCCTTTTTTTTGTGAGGGGAATATCATCAAATGACTTCCCCGCTCAGGGCCGGGCGGGAGTGTCAGACTCTTACTGACTAAAAAACCCCCCTGTTCCTTCTCCTGCTCTGGGCCGAGGTCGCGGTGCCTCATTGCGCTTACCCCGCAACCCACGCATTGGGCGCTGTAATCAGAATTTGGTTCAAGAACATTTGATAAGGGCTGGGTTAAATGACCATTTAAATGGCTCGAGTACAAAACTGTTTAAGAAAAAGCTAATATGATATCTCATAACATAATTAATATAAAAATTATAAAACTTAAAAAAATATCATCATCTGCCTATAAGCGCCCACTGCTGCTTCTCACGCGGAGGTTTGAGCATAATTGACTTGATGATAATTGAATCTTGCTTTAGGCGGATTAGTGATACGATATTTATAATTAGAAATTATAAGTCCAGGTTCCCTAAGGATATTTTTCTTTATCGTTTGTGAGTGGTTACGAAAAACACTTGTAGTAGGAATATACAATTTAGAAAAAGTCACATTGTTTACTGGAAGGTCTCGAACCTGCATCCTCATTCATGAAGCGTTCCATCGATACTTTCTCCATAAATAAAATATTTAGGTCGAATTACTCGATATTTATACAAATTTTTAATTGATCAACGATTAAAGTATATTTTTCTTACCCATTGTAATATCGTAAATATGCAGCTTGACTTAATTGAAGCACACCTGAAATTTATATATAATGCCACTTCAGAATAACAAACTATAAAACAAATAAAAATAAAAACATAAATCGTGCAACTATTGACAAAAAAAAAACAGTAAACATTTTAGTTTTAAACTGCTACAGTTTTTTTTTATAAAAAAAAAAACTGTAACACGAGTAGTGTAAAGTTCTAATTCTAATTATAATTATAATTAGAACTTTTGCGTTTAAAAATTACCAACCTATCAACACTAAAATAGGCGTCGTACACAATATCTTAGCACTACACATTTTTTTTAATATTCAAATATAGATTATAAAAATAACCGTTGAATCTTTTTATCGAGTGTCACTTTTCCCGCCAATTTTTACGTTAGCGGGCACGCGCCGCGTCTGACTGCGCAAGGATGCGCGCGCAGCGTTCTAATATTACGGTGGAACTGATCGCAAAGCTGATAATACAATCGCTGATGACTTCGAAACAATTATTAGCTATCGCGGAAGTTGGAGAGCAAGCCTTGGTGAGGTCCAAGTGTAATGTAACTGTTGAAATTAAACTAAGGTCAGTTTAATGTTTTACTTACATTATTTTCCTGCGATTTATTTAGGCAGGGAAAAGTTAAGGAATCTTTATCTACTTACTTTTTGGTTGTGATAGGATTAATTTTTTTTTGTTCGAAAAATATACTATGAGCTCGATGCTTTTTTTGTTTCTTTTTGGTAAAAAGGTTATAGATTTACATTTGATAAATTCATCAAATTATGGTTTAGGTACCTAGATAGGTACATATCGTAGGTGGATGTCAATTTCTAAAGGCAATGTTGAACGTCTAACAATAAAAAAAATATCATTTATTTATTTATTTTATTTTGAGGAAAAACAAACAGTAACATATTACGAAATATACATAATTCAAACTTACATATTATACTTGGCAAATATGTTACCCACTACGTTTTCCACAGATTACTTTTAATATTTTACGATCTAGACTGACACAAACATAGGTACATTTTCAAATAGACTAACTTATTTAGAACAAGGCAGCAGTGTGACAACAAAAAATATTTAAATAATTTGTTTAACAATTTTTAGTTTCAAGTTACAATTTGAAGTTTTTAAGTAGTATTTTCAAGTTACAATTTCGTACACACATTGCATCATAGACAGATTGCCGATCCCGAAGAGTTGTCCGAATTTGCTTTTTAAAAACGTAAAGATAGGATGTGAAAATAAGGAGATTTCTTATACAAGATCTACCCTTTACAAAACCATGCTGCTCACCAATGAGGACGTTATGTATAGCCGGATAGACCTCGTTATGTACTAATCTCTCAAAGAGTTTAGAGAATGTAGACAGTATAGAGATAAGCCGATAAGTCGCAACGTCATGCTTGGATCCGCTCTTATGAACTGGAACAATATTTGCATGTTTCCAAGTATCAGGAAAGATACCGTACGATAAACATTTATTAAATATGATAAATAGGGGAAAGCAAATTGTATTACACGTGTTTCTTAAAAAGATTGATGGGATTCCATCTGGACCCGGACCTTTAGATGGATCAAGGGATTTTAATTCCTTACGTATAGCATCTATCGAAAGTTGCAGTGTACACAGGTTGACATCATTATCGGCCACATCATTGGGTGGTGTCCATGAGTCGCAGTCAAAGGACGAAGGCTCATATACCGAGTGAAAGAATGTAGCCAATAGATTACAGATAGTGGTAGGATCACCAGAGGATACATGATTATAGTGAACCGATGCTGGGATTTTATTTTCACGGCTAGCAACATAAGACCAAAAAGCTTGAATATTAGTAGCAACACTGTCGTCAATAGAATTTTTATAATTAATGTAGCATTGTTTAGCAATTTTTTTAAATTTAGCCCTATTGATGGAAAACACCTCATAATCGCGTAAATTACCATACCTCTTCCATCTGCACCAAGCACGAGTTTTACATTTAATGATAGCTATAAGAGACCCAGAGAACCACGTCGGGTAATTTACATTTTTAGGCCTACATACTGGCGTGTGCTTTTTTATCGCTTCATAAAGTTTTTATAGAATGTGGATACACAATCATTAGGTGCCAAATTATCGAGTAAATAGTTCCAATCAACATTACTTAACTCCGTATTAATACATTTGTAATTAGCTTTGTGATAATTAAGTCTCCCATTAACATTGCATTTAGAGTTGTGCGAGGGGTACGAGATAGAAACGTGTACATAGAAGGGGGGGTGAAAAGTGTCAACAGGTAAAAGGGGAGTGTCTGGGCTAAACAAAATCGTGTGAGTGTTACAAAAAAAGAGGTCCAAGATTCGTCCCACCGAATTGAATAAATGGTTATACTGATTTAGATTTTGTTGTGAGTAGAAGTTTAATAGATTGCTATTTATGTTTGTGTTTTTATTGTTAAAAGTTTACTTCATGTAAGTTGATTTTTTTCCCAATTATTCAAAGGCAAGTTGAACAACACACAAAACTGACAGAAAATCAATAAAAGTTAAGTATATTTCATCATCAGAGGAAGTAGCGCAAATCAAATGATATCTGATGTCACTAGAAGGTATCTTCACTATAACATGTTCAGGTAATGTTAACGGGGGTGAAAATGAGAGGCAGATTGGTTTTAATTCCTTCACCACGGCCACAAGGACACATCCTTCATCCTTTTTATTAGTGAGTGCACGGTTACGATCACATCTGAATATCAAATTAGCGCTAATCAATAAATTAACTATCGGCTATGTCGCCGTAGTTAAGATGGGTTATTTCCAATGATTTTATTAGAAGATCATAATTAAAGTTCAACTACGTGTCAGTCTGTCGGTCTGTCCTGTAGACGTCGTTTATGATATTTGATTGTTCCAAAGTGATTCCTGCGGAAGCGAACGAGCAAGAAACTCCATGGTTACTCTTTCTTAATCAGCTAACAAATATTGAAATTCCTCCTTCTGAAATTTAGTGGAATAGGATTCTTTTCTGCATACTTTACCCCTTATTTATTTTGATGATGTAAGTAAATGACTTTGGCAGTAAATAAATAGCTATGCCTATTTTTTTGCCGATGACCTGTATGGCACGTAGCGTTCTGGGCGCGACTCAGACAGCCAATAGACCACTACAGATGGGGCTGATGTTTAGCCGTGGTCGGCGGATGACTTAAAGCTAATTCGCGAAGTATCAGGGATATTGCTTTAATAGTGATTTCAATAGAGTTATTAAGTGCTAAATACTTGTTCATATCGTCTATTTGGTTCCGGTAACCTCACTCACACGGCAACACAACGTTGTGGTTGTTTCATGCCAGTTTTCTGCAAGGCCTTGGTATCACTCCAATCGAGCCGACCTATTCGCCCCGACGCATAGCATGAAATTTATGTATTTGGAAGTGTTATTGATTTTCGTATGAATTATGGCCAAAGAAAGTTGTGCAGTGGCATTGAGAAAAACAATATTTCGTTTGTAACTTTTTTTTAATAATAAATTAAGCCAAATAATGACCACAAATATAAATAATCGTGTATATTGACAGTTGGTAGAACTTGACTCTACAGAGCTGCCATCTCACAGGAAACATTTCATAAATCTTCATTTACTACGAGGCTTTTGTTAAAAGTCACGTCGAGTGTACGCAAGCATTGCCATTACGGTCTTAAACAGGAGAGAAGAAGGAACGGGGTTTTTTTAGTCAGTAAGAGTCTGACACTCCCTCTCGTCTTACCCAGGGCGGGAGATAAACAAATATCTATACTTTTAAATTAATATTATAAAGAGGTAAACTTTGTAAGTTTGTATGTAGGGGGTAATCTTTGGAACCACTGGTCGGATTGCCAAAATTCTTTCACATATATAATATAGCACCACTATAGCTATCCTACAATGTTCCTTAGTGCTATAAGCTTTAAAACATCACGCTACGATCAAATGGAGCCAAGCAGCGGGTGAAACCGCGTGAGAGTAGCTAGTTATTAATAATAAAATACTTACCACGCTTAGTTTGAATTAAGTATACAAACTAAAAAAAACTAGTAAGTAAAATTGTTTCATGCTTAGTCTTACTTTTCAGCGTTTCTATGTAATTAAAAAAAAACGAACTTCACAGAATAACTGTAGTGAAGCAACACTTTCGTTATGTTTCGCCGTGCGATTGCCCCCCATCCTCAATCCTCAAATCACCTATCCATAAACTCAGCCGGGGTTGCGGGGTAAGCGCAACGAGGCACCGCGACCTCGGCACAGAGCAGGAGAAGGAACAGGGGAGTTTTTAGTCAGTAAGAGTCTGACACTCCCTCCTGCCCGGCCCTGGGAGGGAGAAGTCATTTGATGATTTTCCCCTCACAAAAAAAAAACCTATCCATAAATTCTAAATAACCCACAAGAGGCCGGCAACGCATTTGTAGTAATTTCTTTGGTACTACGAGTGCCCAAGGGTGGCGCTAATTTTGGTTTTTGGTTACCGGAGGCACAATCCTTCCCCTTCCCCAATCCCTCCTCAATCCCTAAATCTCCAAATCCCTAATCCCTAAAAGGTCGGCAACGCACTCGTAACTCCTCCGTTGCGAGTGTCCATGGGCGGCGCTGATTGCTTACCATCAGGTAATCCGTCTGCTCGTTTGCCGACCTATAACATAAAAAAAAAAATCTCGACCATCATCGTATTTATAGTAGACAATCACAATGACATTTCTTGTGGTTTACTACTTAGGGCTGATTTTTCAATGGTTGGATAAAAGTTATCCGGGGAATAACTATGATGTTGTCGCGTCACAATTTTTGTATAAGACAGTGACAGCAACAATTTTAATATTGGAAAATCAGCCCCAAGTATTTTATATTAAGTATATTATTATAATAACTGTAATAATAGTGACTGCACGGTTGGTGCGGTGCCACGGTGGCTGAGCAAACTGGCTGTCGTGCAACGTGTCGCGGGTTCGATTCCCGCACGGAACAACACTTTATGTGTTCCACAAACTGTTGTTTCTGGTCTAGGTGTTGTCATGTGTATGTGAAATTGAGTTTTTGTAAACGCGGAGAAAATCCTAGTGTAGGGCAACGGCTTTTTTTATTAAGAGATGTTACAACAGAAGTGCTTGCCAACAGACACTGCAGATGGCTGTAAAGGTAAAATAAAGAAAATAACATTCTACACTCGTAACCACTCTCTGAATAAAGGCAATTAATATTACTCTCATTAATTGACAATTAATTCCATATTTTTTTTCTTTTTTTTAAGTTTTGTGGATTGACAATTTGCCGTTGGGATAAAACTGAAATGAACTACGAAATTGGTAACCATATCAATACTTCGCAAGCGTTGTTTTAATAATCAAGTCAGTTGAGCCATTCCATTCAAGTAAAAAGTATAAGGTTGTGTAAGTTTTAGTCACATTTCAAGCCTGTACTTAATTTTATA